GAGTGTGAACTTCAGCTAACAAATGGAGCAACTATAAAGTATCCTACATAACTGATATGTCTTACGCAGAAAATTTACTTGCCAAATGAAAACATCAAGGCCATTTAACAATTGTCGTCTAATGTTTTTTTACAATACAAATGGAAAGAATGCTGGTAAGAAATAACATCTTCTGTATCTTATGCCACCGCAACAGTATCTGAAAATAAAAACACCAACTAACTTTAGTTATGGCCACTAAGAACCACTAAGCTTGGAAAGTAGGTAAGGAACCCAAATTCGATGTTTCAAAATTTCGCTCTGCAATAATAGCTGCCACGATACTTTTTGCAGTCCTGCAAATAACCTATTTATACAAAATAGTTTACACAAGCTAGTTACCTAAGATACTATGAGAAGGAAATTCAAAACATTGTTAAGAAATGGAGAGTATGTTGTCCAGATAAGGCCACATGTGCTCAAGAAATTTATCGAGTCAGTCCAGCTTCAGCAACATCTAAAGATAATAATTATGTATACATAACTAAGCAACTCTAAAGATGCAGGTTAAACATGTAACTGAATACATACACGGTCATTATCAGGACAGTAAACCCAACCAGTAATTTCAGGAAGTAATTGCTGCAAGCTTTGAGAATCTTGCTCGACCAATGGATGAATAGCAGGTCCTGATAGAGTAAATGAAAACTATTAATTGTTTTCAAAGGTGTTGATTTTGTAAAATAGAAAACATTATTTCTTCCAATGATAAAAGTGCAGAAGTGAGACATGAAATATATCAATGAACAAGAAGGAGACATAAGTTAAATATGAGCAAAGTTCTACCGTTTCAACAACATGGCTACTAACTGACATATATTAAAGTACTCAACCTTTCATACCTTTAAGATAGTAATTAGAAATAGTAGTTTGGTCCTGAGTGTTTATTTTAATTTGATCAATTCATAGACACTCTTGTTTATACCCAACCAGAAGGGCTAACTAAACAACTCAGATTATCCAAATCTTTACTTTTGGACAAATAATGAAAAAAAATCAAAGCTCTATAATTTACAGGTTATACATTAAAGACTACAGTCTAATTATCAGTTTATTGAAGTTCAGTGAAGTCAAACTTATAAACCTTCAAACAATAGAGCCGTAGTAAAAGATCCAACACGATAGATCAACAAACTAACTTTTTTAACTATGCGCTTACCTTGAAAGAGCAAAACGGAGCAGTGAAGAACATCATCAAAGTCGTGAAGATGAACAGACAGTTTTGATCTTTATGCTCTGTGTTTCATAGAAACCCAGCTTATAGAATCACAACAAAATACGTAAAAAGAACTTTTGAAACCAATGAGCTTGAGTTTTATACCATGCAAAGGATTATACGTTATTGGCACCTACTAAACCCAAACCAATAACAAGAAGAATAAGTTTTAGTCAAGATAAAAATGAACCATTAAATAGAGTGCTTATTTCATGACCAACTGGTTCTGGAATATATGAAAAAAACAATAAATTTAGCTAAATAAGAACTACAAGATTTATTCATATTAGGTTCCTATAACCATAAGTATGTATAGCTGCAATTAAACAAATTACAAGATGACATTGAAGCGGGTAAGCAGACATGTCCAATTGGTCCACTCTACTCTCAGTTGCTATCGTTCGTCAAGTAAGAAAAATTTAAGTTTATGTTCTTGTCTCCATTATAGGATGTGGAAAGGCATTCAAGAAGGAAACCTGCAGAGGGCTACCAAGATACAAAGTTCTATACTACATGGATTAATACATCCTTAGACACATGCAGCCAGCTTTAACCCAAACTTCAATCATATTCCAAGACGAAACTTTGTCAGGTTCTCAGTTTCGAGAAGTAACAAATCCAAAGAGTATTGGCATGTGCAAATTAATATTGTGTGTAAATTTATAATTAGTATCTCTAAAGCTAACACAATGAATATTACCTTTTTCAACTAAGAACACTTTCTGAATGATCTAGGACATGCCTTTGACACTTTTAAATAATGTTGCTTCATTACAATTTTGTATTGGCATCTCTAAAGCATTGAAAGAAGTACAAAATCACACTTAATCGCAATCTGAATGCCAAAATAATGAAAGTATAATTTCTTAAACTATTATTCTTGCCTAATATTCTCTCGGCGCAGCATATTTTTTCGATTGTGCTGTAATATCTTACCATTTTGTAAGCCTGAGCTAATATCAAAGTAACAGACACAACATAGCTGGGGAAAAACTTTTTAAACCCATGTAATTACCTTGACAGAGCAAAAGTGCAGCTGACGGATGATGGCGTTACCAGTGTTGCAAGGAGATGACCAAATCGCTCAGTTTTTCAAAGAAATCCAGTAACAGATGTAACCTTCGATTAATCTTTTTTGATAATCTCAGTAGAAGTCAAAATTTAAATTTTGGCGAAAAAATGTGCGAAAATCAAAGAGAAGAAAGTAGCAAAACCCAAAGAAAAACATAGAGGAAACAAAGCAAATCAAAAGGATTTACTTTGGTAGAAGAAGCTTGAGCGGCGAAGAACTATGCGTCAAAAATTGAGGAGAGAGAAAATTGTTCTTCAAACTCGGTAACGGTGATTGCCACGGCCTAGGTAGAAAATGACCAACTGAGTCTACTTCTGATCTGAATAGTTAACAACAAATAAGGACATAATAGACAATTTAAAACAAATAGCACATCAAATGACCAGAATGTCCTCGTCATAAGCAGGCGTGTTGATGGAGAGCTCTCTGCTATTCCCTCTTATTATAAGTAGTAATACTCTTAGTTTAGCTATCTCTTTAATTTCTATCTTAAATGTTGAGAAGTGACAAACTCTTACGGATTCTCTCTTAAATGTTTGGCACACAAAAAGGTGTCATGAATATTTTGTTCTCTTTGGAGTCCCCCTAGTTTTAAAACGAGGTTTTGGAAATTCNACTCATATTTGAAAATTTGGCATCATGCTTTTTCTTAAAAAGTATATTTATATTGTTCTCTTTATATTGGTGTTATTGTCTTATTGTGGAATATTATACCTTCGTTATCCCCACCCAGAAAAGTATGTAAAAATTACCTTTGTTATGATTAATAATTTCATATAATCGGGATTTGTTTTTTTTTAATCTTAAACAAAATATAATACGACTTGGTGCTAAAAAATGAAGTTCTTGACCAAGGATCTTGGTATTGGACATTGGTATGGAATTGCATTTTGATAAATATTACTCCCTCTCTCCCATTTTATGTGGCGCCTCTTTCTTTTTTAGTCTATCTCAAAAAGGATGACATCTATCTATATTTAGAAATAATTAACTTTAAACTTCCCATTTTACCCTTGATGAGATGATTTATAGCCACAAAAATGTCTATGGCTTGTTTTAGACCGAACTTTTTTTCTTTCTTAAACTCGTGCCAAGTCAAACACTATCACATAAAATGAGATAGAGGATGTACTAATCAGTCTATGTACTATTTAAAATGAAGATAGTAATATTAATTCATGGAGGCACAGTAAAGAGAAAAACAAAGAAAAGGAAAAGTAGTGAATAACATTATTTATATGGTTAAGCTTCTTATATGTTTTGGGGTTCATAGTATTTTTTTCTTTTTTTTTCTTCTTTTTAAGCAAACTAAAAAGTCCTCTCTTTGTTTCAGCTTTTACTTGTGCCAAGTTAATTCTAAGAAATTTGGAAATTCGAGACTTTAATAGCAATCATATGTATATAGTAAGAAATAGAATCACTACAGTTAAAGCCCATTTCTAATTTCAATTCTATTGGGATGTTCAGTTTTTATTATTAAGATCTCAACTAATATCATTCCTCAAATTTTCCCAAAAAAGGGGGAAAAAGGAGAGAAAAATTCTAAAAGTAATTTTGCCTCTAAGTATCAGTTTAGGTCTTGCATTTTATACAAGATATATCGTGATGAGTAATTGTGTCCAAAATGTTCCTATCCGAGAAATTCATCCCAATGTTCATCCTTGATAGGTGAAGCTACAACTTTCCAATCTGCTAGTGATTTTCTCTCCTCTTCCTACTTTTCCAAATGATTTTTTTTGTTTTGATGGATTGATTTTTGTTGTAATGGATACTGTGATGATAAATAAGAACAAAAAGTAAGGAGTTTAGATGATATGTATTTAGCTGGCACAAACTTTCCTCCTTTTGATGAATACAAGTCTTTTCAGAGTGACATTCTGATCATTATTCCTCAGTTGATGGCCTAATCCTAGAAAGTTATAAATTCTGATGTGTCTCCATTGGCACTGAGACCTGAGGGGTAGTGGAACTGCATACTTTCTTCGTAAATGTGGGACAGTGTAATTTGGTATTAACTTTTGCTGTTAATCTTAAAATCATGCTTTCTGCTTCTGTTTCAGCTGTTCTCTGAGGTAGATGTGAAGCTGGTATTCAAGGAAGTTACTTCCAAACTTTTGCGGAAACGAATTGTGGAGGTAAGAATTCTTTGAGACAATGTTATACAAGATCTTCTATAGATAGACTTTATACTGCTCTGTATGGCATTATTTGATTCAATTTTCATGTTACTAATCTTGGGGCGGGATAATTTCTTTGTTGCTCTATTTTCTATCTAGAATGGACCTGGACAGGTGATATAAGCTGTAAGATACATTATGATGAGGACTAAGAATACACTTGTGCTCCTTACAAAATGGTAGTTGTATTTTTGCCTTTTGAGTCGAACAACATCATAGTTGAGAAATTGTGAAATATTATCCTTTATATCATTCAATGCAATATTTGTAACTTGTAGTATTGCAGATTTGCGAAGAAGAAAGGCTTCTTTCATATATTAGTATGTTTCTACATCCCTAAGCAAAGGTACTTATACACAAGGTCCTATGACTATTTTAGGAAGGAAATAAATAACAATCAATTTACAATCAATTACAATCAATCAGAATAAAATCAAATCTTTCAGAATAATCAAGCCAGTAAATACTTCCCCTCAAGTTGGTGCAAAGATGTCGCACATGCCCAACTTGCAAACTAGTGTATAAGAAGTGTTTGTTGAGACTTTTGGTAAACACATCAACTGGCTGCTTTCTGATGACACATGAAACAAACTCAAGATACCACTCGTAACTTTTTCTTTGATGATGGATTGGATTATGTGCTATACTGATGACATGACAGCCTTGTTGTCACAGAATAAGAAAAGTTTTCCCTTTTTAGACAGTTTCAATTTCTCTAGTAACTTTAGTAACCAAAGAAGTTCATAGATACCCTGGTGCCATAACACTATATTCTGCTTCTATACTTGATCTAGCAACTACTCATTGCTTCGTATTCTCCAATTAACCAAGTTCCCTCCTACATGTGTATAATAACCGTGTATAATAACCGGATGTAGATCTTCTATCATTTAAAGATTCAGCCCAATCCGCGTCTCTATAGGCTTCTACCCGAAGGTGACCATGTTTGGAGAAAAGCAGACCTTTCTCCGGAGCAAATTTCAGATACCGCAAAATGTGAAAGAGAACTTGCATATGAGGATCACGGGGATCATGCATAAACTAACTCACCAAGTTGACTGGATAGGCTATGTCTAGTCTGGTATGAGAGAGATAAATAAGTCTTCCTACCTCTATTAACTCTCCTTATCAACTGGCTTTCCAACTCCTGTATGTAATTTGTGATCTCTTTCAATGGATGATTTTGTTGGTTTGCAACCTGTCATACCAGTTTCTTTCAAGAGATCCAGAATATACTTTTTTGAAAAATAAAGATTCCTCTTTTTGATCTAGCAACCTCAATTCCCAGGAAGTATTGCAATTTTTCTAGGTTCTTGATCTCAAATTCCTGTGCCAATAGCTTCTTCAATCGGGTCATCTTCTTTATGTCGTCTCCTGTCATTACTATGTCATCAACATAAACTATGAGAAGAGTAGTTTACCCTTTTGATGTCTTATGAAGAGGGTATGATCAGCATTGCTTTGTTAGTAGCCAAAGGAGATCATTGCTTTGCAGAATCTGTCAAATCATCTTGATTTTCTGATTTGAACTGCTATTTTCATCAAAACATCTAGAGTTCGTTTCTTTCCAAATTTTCCACCAAATACATGATAGAAGTATTACGTATTGAATTGTTAAACAATAAAACTATTAAGTATTGAATATGAGCATAGTGTTGGTCCCATGATGTTCTGTTAATTATGAGGTATTACTGAACTATATTTATAAATAAAACAGTTATATAAATATAGTAGTGTTAGCCCCTAGACGGGTCAGAACATGGGCACTTATTAAGCAGCATATTTAGGCCATAACCTATTAAATGGGTTGGGAGTGGCGGTTAGTGTTGTCATCTGCCCCATTGACAGGCCTAGGATGGGATTACTACCCGCATTNGTTCGGAGTTGAGTGTTTTTCATCAAACGCATTTTGCATATTACATTGAATTAGTTGATGTTATGCTTTGTCATTGTTTCTAACCAGAGGGATGGAGCAAAGCTGTAAAAAAAATTTCAGGAGCTAGGGATGTGTCTAGGATTTATAGGACCTGGTCTTTGCACCTGAGTATTAGTTTTTTCCATCTGAATATCTACTTGGTGTTAGGTTAGTTTATAGTTATGCTTCTCATTTTTTTCCCCTGTATTCAGAGAGGTAAGAGAAGTGATGGCAGGACCCCTCAGGAGATACGGGTAATTGACGCACGCTGTGGACTGCTTCCCAGGGCACATGGGAGTGCTCTCTTCACTCGAGGCGAAACACAGGTTTGTTCCCTCTATATTCTGTAAAATGCACAACTGAATTAGCCTATTTGCAAGCATCAGATTTGTCTTTCCTCTGAAAGTTTCTTCAGAATTTGCTCATATGATGAAAGAAAGTTCATTGACCTGATTTTTTTATGACTGATGTTCTTTTAAGCTTTAAAGTTTTTAATTTGTTTTTTGTCGGATTTACTTTTTCCTCTACTTGTTCTACTTAATTTTAGCTAAATAGTATGGTTGAGGAATTCAAACTAAAATCAGAAATATAAAGAGTTGAGATCCCAGATTTTGCAGAGGGGGAACCATTTTTTCCTTTCCCTTGTGGATCTTGTTTCTGAAAGTGTGAAGATGTAGTATCAAGCTGGTTTGAATTCTGATTTGTTAATTGTAGCTTACGCTTGATAGAAATATATTCTATTCAATAGCAGTTCTGTTGTGTACTTGATTGCTTCTTGGATTTTTGGTTTTGCAGTCATTGGCGGTGGTAACACTCGGTGATAAGCAAATGGCACAGAAGATAGACAACCTTGTGGATGATGATGAATACAAGAGATTTTATCTTCAGGTATGAGTACCTGTGATAAGTATGTCCAAGTCATTAGACAGTTTCCTATGCTGCCATAACTTACCCGCTTTGAAAACCTCATTTTCTACGGATTCTATCACAAGAGCATTTCCCATGGTTAGAGAATACACCTTTCCCACATCCATTCTGCAAGGGTGTTCAAAGGAGTTTATAGTGGAGCTAGACTACTTAAAATTTTGGGTTTAGATTCTCAAATTTTCAGAGCAGAACTTTGGTAACTGGTTCTCAAAACAGTTTTTTCTCTACCTATCTTATAGATCTAGGTTTGTCTTGCTCAATTGGTCAATCGAGCCGATTTGGGCCTCTCTCTTTTATTTCAAACCATTGAGCTACTGATTCTGCTCCAAACTAGCTCTTTAGCCTGTTGGACCAACTTATCTCTACTCCATGCCCACTCTTTAGCCTGTTGAGCCTACTTTCTCAGTATGTCAACTCTTTAGCTTGTAATGGCACTTCAATTTCTAAAACAAAAACTTAAGCAGTAAAAAAAAGGCCAGAAAACAAGCAAAGAAGAAAAAAAGAATCTTCATTCCAGATATACCCCTAAAATTGGGTTATGCATGTCGAAAGGTGTTAGAGAATATGTGTCATGTGTCAGATCTATGAGGGTTTCCTAAGAAACTTGTAATGGTCCATAACAACTCCACCCATTACCTTAAAGTTTTTGAATCAATGCTCAGATTCTTTTAGACAAGCTTTTTCAACAAAATGCTTTATTTTTATTTTTATGTAGTAGTTCCATTACTGGCATCAAGTAGCAAAAGTTACAAGGATATGAATACATAGTTAAGATTATAGAAAACTGATTGTGTCGGTTGTAGAGACAAAATACTAGGCTATTACAAAGGAGCTGACAAAATCCAAAAAATGGTCAATGCTAGATACAGGGGTTAGCTTGAGCCAGGAAAAAAGATTACATTAAACATCTTTCCTGCCGGGAATGACTCGAAGTTGAGATTCCATCAAAACACCTCTGATTTCTTTTTATCCAGATGCACCAAAAGATACTTCCAGGCACCATTAGCCAGATATTCTTGATGGCTTTATTAATTTGTATGAGCTCCAGCTCATATATGCTTCCTTGATATTGTGTGGCATGGCCCAACTTACACCAAAATTAGATATTAACATATTCCATAACTCTGAAGCTACTGTACAATGTAAGAGTAGGTGGCTGACACTTTCTGCATTGGACTTGCACATATAGCATCTATTAGCCAATTGAATGCTCCTTTTTTCTGAGATTATCCTGGGTCAAACATGCATCATATAGAGCTGTCCAACTAAAGCATATGACTTTAGCAGGCAGCCTTGTTCTCCAAATTAACTTCCATGACCAAGAAGCAATCGTCATATTTTGTCATTTTTTTGTTTTCTCCTGCTTTATCGAAAATGTTGCCTACACCCAAAGGAGCTAGTCTATTAGTTTTAGGACGAAGAGATGGCTCGTCTTGTGCCATTTTTGTTTTCTCCTTTGCATATTCAACTTCAAGAGCAGCTTCTAAAACATAATGTTCTTCTCTTCTTTTAACCGAATGGACATGCATAGGATCTTTTTCTTCATGGGACTGGAGAAGATGCTTAATATGTTTAAGGTGGATCATTTTTAGCACTCATATTCTTTCGGAAACGTGGACATAATAGTAGTGATGATCGTCTTCTGTTAGGAAAGTGAAAAATTCTTTGGCTCTGCCATGCATGGAAACTATAATATGGTTTGAAATATGACATGTTTTTTGTTTAGCCACGGTAATATAAAGTGCATAAGAAATATTCATCTTCAAATTTTCATCTCTTTCTGAAACTAATTATTTTAACTTGCTTCATTCCTTTTATTGAAGAGAATTATGTGAATCGGGCTTGTTGTTTTTGGTATACAACGTCAGGCAGTTTCCCTTTCCCCTACTGAAATTGGTGCCTAGAAGTTGACTTTACTTTTCCGATTAATGGTTTGTCGTCTCTTATTTGGTGTTATAATTGAAACCTATACCTTCACCTTCTTAAACTATGTCGGGAATTGATTCCTACATTTAACTACAATAGACAGCTAAACAGATAAGGAAAGTCCTTTGTACTGGTTTGCTCTGCATGTAACTGATGGAATGGGCTACCTTCTCCCTTGTATTCTTCAACATGTCACTGTAAGATAATACGTTCATCCCAAAAGAATGAAATAAGATCAAGTGCTTTGCTGTAGTGCTTGAATTTAATGTCCAGTGTACTGGGGAATTGCTTATTACATCCTAAGTTAGTAAGGCCTCATTTTGTTTTTAAAGAGTAAGACATCTGAAGCTGAATACCATATCTGAATATCAAGATGCGTATTAAGATTAAGACATATGAATCTGAATACACATGTGAATTTTAAGATGTGTATTAAGATCTGAATATTTTCTTATGGTATCTGTTGGTGGTACTGATATTGTCTCTTTTCTTTTCTTTTCTTTTCGTGTTCTTGAGCCGAGGGTCTTTCGGAAACAACCCCTCTACTTCTCGGGGTAGGGGTAAGATCTGCGTACACACTACCCTCCCCAGACCCCACTAGTGGGATTTTACTGGGTCGTCGTCGTCGTCGTTGTTGTATTAAGATATGAATACTAAATGATTAAGACTGTTTTTTTAACATCTGAATATATAAAATTTGTCTTTATTTAAAAATTAATAAGCATAAAATTCAAATAAAATACTAATTAATCTAATATTCTATCAATAACATATATATTTTTTAAAACATGGTAGTTGGTGGTGGTGACGGCTAACAGAGGTGCTTGTGAATGCCGACTAGAGGCGGTGGTTGTGGTGGTTTTGGATGATGGTGGTGGTTCTGGGTAGCAACTAGTGGTGATTGGTAGCGATGGCGGTTATGGTGGTGGGTGGTGATAGTCAATAATGGTGGGTGGTGGTTGTGGTTGTGATGGAGGAAGGGGATGGTAGTAGTTTCTAATGGTGTGCGGTGCCGGCTATGGTTGTTGATGGTAATGGGGTTGTGGTAGTTGAGGTGGGTAACTGTGTGGTTGTGGTTTAAGATGATGGTGGTGGGGTGGTGGTAATGGTGGCGGCTATGGTTGAGGATGGTGGTGGTTGAATATGGTGGCAGTGGTAGCTGATCAATGGAGCTCCTGAAGGTTTTTTTCCTTTGGAAAGGGCTTGAGACAGGGCGATCCCTTATCCCCTTTCTTATTCATACTTGCCATGGAAGGGTTAAACAATATGTTAAGAACAACACGGGGTAATGGATGGATTAAGGGCTTCAATGTGGCAAGGAACCAAACTGACAGGTTGGAGGTTACTCATCTTCAATATGCAGATGATACCCCCATTTTCTGTGATGCTGATGAGATCCAAGTAAAGTATTTAAGAGTGATTCTTATAATTTTCGAAGCCATCTTTGGGCTTCATATCAACCGGAGGAAAAGTCAGATTTTTCCAGTTAATGAGGTATCTTGGATTCTGGGAGGTGAAATTGGTTCTATCCCAACCACTTATTTGGGGATGCCTTTGGGAGCTAAGAGCAAATCCAAGGACATCTGGAATGGAGTCCTAGAAAAATGTGAGAAACAGCTAGCAAGATGGAAATCAAACTACATTTCATTGGGTGGTAGATTGGTCCTCATTAACTCTGTGCTAGATGCTCTCCCTACATATATGTTGTCCCTATTTCCTATACCTACCAATGTAGAGAAAAGACTGGACACCTTGAGAAGAAACTTCCTCTGGCATGGAAACAGAGAAGAAGGGCTTTCATCTAGTCAAATGGAAAACTTTGACCCTCAGCAAAAAGATGGGAGGTCTGGGGTCTGGAACTTGAGAATGCAGAATAAAAGTCTTTTGATGAAGTGGCTTTGGAGGTTACCAGGGAGGAACAAGCTTTGTGGAACAAGGTTATAAAGGCTAAATATGGAAAGGAAGGATTCTAGATGACTAAGCAGGTAAACAATGCTTATGGTACCAGCTTGTGGAGAACTATAAGGAACCTGTGGCCAAATTTTGCTGACAAACTTCAATTCAAAGTAAGGAATGGTAGGAAAACTCTTTTTTGAGAAGATAACTGGTTAGGAATTGATTGTCTTATGAATCTTTTTCCAGACATTTATGCCCTGAATCAACAACATAGAGCTACAGTATATGAACTTTGGGGGCACGGGCATGGAATCTCACTTTCAGAAGACCTTTACATGATTGGGAGCTGCCCAGAATAACAGACTTCTTTAACACTCTGGAGCTATGTAACGGACTGCAGGAGGGAGAAGATACACTTACCTGGAGCCAAAACAGCAGTGGGATGTACAAAGTCAGTTCAACCTACAAGTATCTAAACCAAGATGGTGGACAAGTCAATCTATAGCCTTGGAAACACATCTGGAGGGTCAAGACACCATACAAAGTGGCATATTTTTCTTGGCTGGTAGTTAGAGAAGCTGTTTTAACACATGACAACTTGAGAAGAAGGGGAATACCATTCTGCTCGAGGTGTTACTTATGTGGCCAAGAGGTAGAGACAATCAACCATCTGTTTCTACATTGTAGAGTGACTAGTCAGTTGTGGGATTTATTCATCAACCTCAGGGGTATTAGATGGCCAATGCCAGGAAGAACATCTAAACTCTTGTCAAGCTGGAATGTAGGGGGGAAGTGCACTGCTTCAAACAAAGACAGATTGTCCCTGCAACTATTTGGTGGACAATATGGAAGGAGAGTAACTCAAGATGCTTTGAGGATACAATTAGCTCTATTCAGAAAATTAAGATGAATTGTATTCTTCGTTTTTGTTTTTGGTGTAAAGCAGAATATAGTGACGACTTAGAGTCAATTCTACAAGTCCTAGATTCCTTGTAAGAAGCGCAAGGATTGTAATAGGGAGCTTTGTAGGCTTTTGTAAACTCTTTCTTTTGGCTTCCAGCACAAAGCTGAAGATTGTTTAATATAAATATACATGTTACATTGTCAAAAAAAAATAATGGTAGGCGGTGACGGCAATTAGTAATGAATGTGGATGATAGCATCTTAATGAAATTAAGTCTTTGTTATAGATATTAATCATTGATTAAGATCTGAATGAGATACATACTTAAAAACAAACACACTTAATGTCTGAGATCTGAATAATTAAGATTCAGACCTCCATTAAGTGCAAACAAATGAGGCCTAAGTAACTATTGATGTGTTTATTCTAGATGTCTCTTGTTTTTCTTTTCCTTCTTTTGGTTTCTTCTAATCTCTAGAAATCACTGGAGATCATTAAGCTGATAATGTTTGTTTGTTTTCTGATTTCCCCTGAATGAAGTATGTTTATCTCCAAACCTCTGTTGGCTTTGTGTTACTTCACAGATTTATTTGTGAATTCTTGATTTTCCACTTGGTATCTCAAGGAAATACTTGATATTTTCTTTACCTGCTCGCTTGCTTATGCAGTATTCGTTTCCACCCTCATGCGTTGGTGAAGCTGGGCGTGTAGGGGCACCATCAAGAAGAGAAATTGGTCATGGAATGCTTGCAGAGAGAGCTCTTGGACCAATACTGCCTCCTGAAGATGACTTCCCTTACACTGTTCGTGTTGAGAGTACCATCACTGAAAGCAATGGCTCATCGAGGTAGAGCGCTTAAAATATGTTTAGAATGTGTCATGTATGTATCTGTAGCTTTTTTTGTTGCCCATCTTAACTATGTTCAAAGGGTTTTATTTCAATAACCTGAAAAAAGTTTGAGGGGATAGTCCCTTTCTCGTCTTTCCAGAGTTGGTCGCCATTTTCCTTTCTGTGACATCTATCTTCTCTATGTGGCAGTATGGCATCTGTATGTGGTGGGTGCTTAGCATTGCAAGATGCTGGTGTTCCTGTTAAGTGTTCTATCGCTGGTATTGCAATGGGTATGGTTCTGGACACAAAGGAATTTGGTGGAGATGGAACTCCACTCATCCTTTCAGACATATTGGGTTCTGAAGATGCATCAGGAGATATGGATTTCAAGGTACTACTTTTTAAATTGTTTCTATCATCTTCCTATCACGTGTTTCTTGAAAAAAGGTATCTTTACATATTTATGCCAATTCATCCGTGTTTGAAGGTCCTTGTAATTTATGATTTGTGATTGAATAAAATGATTTTAGAACTTTTGCAGTTCAATGATTATAGCTAAACTAGTACAGTGAGCAAATCAGATGAAGTATTGGAGCGGGTTTCATGTGCCTGCAACTCTGCCTTTACTGTAAAGGCTGTTTGGTTAGTTAGAGGATCTTTGGATATCTGGGAAAAGATAAACATTGAAAAAGTAACCACGTAAAGCAAACTGAGGAAAACTTTTATCTTATGCAGTCAATAGACTTAACTAATGTGGGATTCTAACACCTCTCTGCACGCCTAGGGCTGTACATATGGATGATCAATAATATAACATGGGTGCCAACCATCGGGTAACACAATAATAGCTATGTGTCTGGCTCATGTTATAAAAATATCTTGGATTTAACTCAACCCCAAAACCTAACTCATGAGATAAGGATTGTCGGAGACCGTATAAAGTGACTACAACTCATTGCTTCAACCAATCTAGGAACACTCTAGCAACCGGGGCTTTACTAATAGTCTTGGTAGCGCCCCTCTTAACTCTTTTGTGTTCTTCAAAGACATCTCAGTTTTCGACTTTTGTTAACTTCATTAAACACTCCTTTTTACTTTTGTAGCTATTTGCACCTTCTCATTCCACCACCTAAGTCTCGTGGTTGAGGTCCTAGGTCTTTGGACACACCTAAAACTTCCTGCTTTCGTAATGCAAGTTGCCATTTCATTGCACTACATCTGCTTCCAAGTCACAGTAGTCCTTCTTCAAAAGCTTGTCCTTAAATACTATTTGGTTTGTGTTGTCTGGTGCTCACCACCAAATTCTTGGTTGCATGCAACTGTTCTCCTTTCTTGTTCCACTCTTTCGCTTCGCATTCAGTTTCACCCGGCCATGTTGCGTGATCAGAGCTTCTCCTAGCATAACCGTCTGGTCTTTCCATATGGTCCTATACTTCTTCCGGTAAGAATGAAGTCTATTTGGCTGCAATTAGATATGTGTTAGCTAAAGATAAATAAAAAATTAAGGGAATCTCTAAGCAGTGTTTTGGAGAGCGCGAAGCGGAAAAAAGCGAGGAGGCCTCGCTTCACCGAAGCGAGAAGCGCGAAGCGAAGCGCGCGCTTTTTTCATGTGAAGCGCAATTTAACACATAAATAAAAAAAATTAAATAGGCATAGATAAATGACCAAGAACTCAATAAAAATAACATATTAAGCAAATGTTTCAATTCTTAAATCAAGAAGTAAATAATAGATACTAAAACTAGATAGTCAATAATCCTCAAAAGTCATAACATATTAAGCAGATGCAAAACAAAATCACAAAAGGAGCAACATCCTATTCTTTAACAAGATCTCCAAACTCTTGAAGTATCATCATGTTCGAGTTATTATATTGGTCATCTTCTTCTTCTTCTTGTTCATCGGGGGCTTCATCAATTAGGCTTCACAAAATGACTATTTTTTCATTTTTTGCTGTTCATTTATCCATCATAATGGAACAACCATAAGTTCTCCATTGCACCTTATGCTCCTCGACAATCTTGTTTGTCTTCTCCACCTCCTTTTTTAGACAAGGAACTCTTACTTCGTGATAGGTAAGGGGCTTCATTCCTAGGCCATATTGGCCTACAGCCTCAATGAATTCACCAAAACTATCAGTGTAATTTACACAATTAAAAGGGAGCCCCGCATCATACATCCACATGGCAAAAACATCTACAGCGCGCTCTCTTAAAGCGTAGAAGCAAGGCGAGGCGAGGGACCTGCGCCTTTCTGCCCTAAAGCGCGGCTCTGGTAAATAAGCGCACGCTTTACCCTAAAAAGCGAGAAGCGAGGCGATGAAAAAAGCGCTGAAAAGCTCGCTTAAGCGAGGTCCAACGGCAGCCTAGGGTTTTTAAAAAAAAAAATTGCAAATACACTTACGCACACTACTTCCAAAGATATGAATACCTTGATCCAAGAGATTCCAAATTACCAACAAAACTTTATTGGGATAGATTTGAATCGACATATGGGTAGATATAGTGTTGTTCCTACTTAACATATGAGGATATAGTGATGGTAAAAGAAATACAGAGTGAAAGGCTATTCTCATAACAACAAAATGGTTTTGTTGCGATGACTACTGCTGCAATAGCTACTGCATCGTCAAGCCGCACATCGCCGCACCGGCGATGGAACCGGCAGAAAAGCTCGAAATGTTTTCCGTCGTGGGCTTTAAGCGCTGACAACAAAAAATGTTCTTCTATCTGGCCACGCTCAATTTGCAGCGCTTTGTTAGTGAGGACATTTCGGTCTTGGTAGAAGGAACTCCTGACAATGAGAGATTTGTGGTCACAGAGGCATGGAAGCATTTTGACTTGTGCAAAAATTATATCTTGAGTTGTTTGGAAGATGGCCGGTACAATGTTTATAGTGTCATGAAAACTTTGAAAGAGTTCTGGAACGCTCTTGAAAAGAAGTACAAGATTGAAGATGCTGCACTTAAAAAGTTTGTTGCCGCGAAATTCTTGGACTTTAAAATGGTTGACAACAAGTATGTTATAACTCAAGTCCAAGAATTGCAAGTCATCGTTCATGACCTCCTTGCTGATGGTATAATTAGAATCAATAATTGTATTAAAGATATTGATTATGCTACTAATTATAAATTTATGATTGAAGGTATGGTCATAAATGAAGCGTTTTGAGTTGCAACCAGTGTTTTTAAGAGCGAGAAGCGCAAAAAAGCGACAAGGGCTCGCCTCGCTTCAAAAGC